TGCTTCGTCAAAAGGGGGTTAGATTCCTCAGAATTCGCCATCACTACATGGACAATTAACAAATTATATTATCTATAAAAAAACAAAAATACAGAACATCTAGAAAAGATGAAATCGGGCAGTGAGAGATATTTTTGAGAGAATTAATTACACAGAATATAACAAGAAAACACCGGTCTCCCTTGAAAGTTTCTCTCTATTGTCTATAAATGGTGACGTATAACAAGGCAACCGTGACCAGGAAGGCGTTGAATGTTTCCTGCTGATTTATTTATTTATGGGCAATGCTATACGGGTAATTTTTTTACAGGGTATTCACAAGCAACACACTTGGGGGGTGGGTGGGGTAATTTTTTTTTCATATTTAATGCAAGCGGAATCCATACATTTGTGAGTGACTTGTGAAAATCCCATAAACTGCTTTCCTATATTTGCAGAATTATCCTTTATTTTTTGCGGTGCTTCGTTCAATTACTTTTGAGCGTTCGATTTATAGTGCATTGGTTTAGTGGAAAAGTCGTGGGACATTATCATTCTGCCACACCCAATTAAAAAAATTATTCGAATTTATCCCAAGCTCTGTTTCTTGTTAAAGTGATGCTACACGTACACAAAGCGATGTCCACTCCCATACATGAAGGGGATCGACTCGAATAACATATAATAAATTCGAAGTGGCCCCCTCTCCATGCGAGGGGTTGACACCGTTATTGATACAGCATTATGTACAAGTAGTATATCCCTTCTTGTTAATAAGGATTAATCTATGTGTACAAATGTGTGTGCATATGAGTTGACATAATGGGAGTGGGATGGGACCCACAATACAGTATCGTGGGCTCCATCCACTCACATTATGTCTAGGGGTGTCCAAAAGTCCCGAATCGAATCGAACCGGATCGAATCGAGCGGTTCTTCATAAATTAAATACCCGAACGGGTACCCGAATCGAGAACCGCTGAGTTTAGGTCGGGTCTCGGGTCTAGACCAAGAACCGAAGAATCGAATAAGAACCGAAACTAAATAATTTTTTTATTTTTTATATTGAATTAATTAAATTATTTTATTTTTTTCCATACAAATTAGCAAATTAATTAAATAAATCA